ATGTGGAACCTTAACAAATGCCTTGCTAAAATTCATATACACCACATCCGCTGCTCTGCCTTCATCAATGTGTTTTGTCACATCCTCAAAGAATTCAATAAGACTTGTGAGGCATGATCTGCCCCTCACAAAGCCATGCTGACTATTTCTAATCAAACTGTGCTTTTCCAAATAATCATAAATACTATCTCTCAGAATCCTCTCCAATAATTTGCCCACCACAGAAGGAAGACTGGCCGGTCTGTAATTTCCAGGATTATCCCTATTCCCTTTCTTGAACAAGGGAATGACATTTGCCACCCTCCAATCATCTGGTGCTACTCCAGTGTACAGTGAGGAAGCAAAGATCACTGCCAAAGGGACAGCAATCTCTTCCTTGCTTCCTGTAGCAATTTTTGGTATATCCCGTCTGGCACAGTGGGCTCATCTACCCTCATGTTTTTCAAAATTTCTAGCATATCCTCCTTCCTAACATCAACCTGTTTGAGCATATCTGCCTGTTTCATGCTGTCCTCACAAACGTCAAGGTCCCTCTCACTGGTGAATACTGAAGCAAAGTATTCATTAAGGACCTCCCCTACCTCCTCTGACTCTGCGCACAAGTTCCCTCCACTATCCCTGATTGGCCCTACCCTCACTCTGGCCATCCTCTTATTACTCACATAAGTATCGAACGCCTTGGGGTTTTCCTTGATCCTACCCACCAAGGTTTTTTCATACCCACTTCTAGCTCCCCTAAGTCCATTCTTCAGTTCCTTCCTGGCTACCTTGTAGTCCTCTAGACCCCTGTCCAATCTTTGCTTCCTCAATCTTAAGTAAGCTTCCTTCATCTTCTTGACTAGATGTTCCACATGTCTTGTCATCCAAGGTTCCTTCACCTTACCATCCTTTCCTTACCTCAGTGGGACAAACCTATCCAGTACTTGTAGCAACTGCTCCCTAAACAACCTCCACATTTCTGACGTGCATTTCCCTGAGAACATCTGATCCCAATTTATGCTCCGTTTGGATGTCGAAGTTTGGAGGTCCACAACATCAGCATAGACCAACCGGGTCAAATGACGTCTTCCTGTGTTCTAAATGCCATATGATATTGTGGATGGCGGAGTGGCTCGGTCGTTAGCACCGCTACCTCACACTGCAAGGGACTTGGGTTCGATTCCACCCTTGAGCGACTGTCTGTGTGGGCTTTGTACTTGCTCTGGTTTCCTCCCACATTCCAATGATGTGCAGGCTAGGTGGATGAGTCATGGGAAATTCAGGGTTACAGGACAGTGGGTCTGGGTGGGGTGTCCTTTGGAGGGTTGGTACGAATAAATCGTCGCTCTTACAATCATTACCTTGCTGGCTGTGTTGATTCAAGGCAGGTCAAGAGCCTTTGCATGTATGTTGTGAGGTAAACTACAGTGTCATAAACTGTACAAACTTCTTTGCTTAGCTCATAGATAACACAGTGTGGAGCTAGAGGAACACAGCAGGCCAGGCAGCATCAGAGGATCAGGAAAGCTGACGTTTCGGGTCAGGACCCTTCTTCAGAATTGGGGGAGGGGCAAGGGAGCCCTGAAATAAATAGAGAGAGGAGGGGTGGGGCTGGGGAAGGTAGGTGGGATGGTGATAGGTGAGTGCAGGTAGGCAGTGGGGAGGATTAGTCAGTGAGGTGGGAGGAGCAGATAGGTGGGAGAGAAGACGGACAGGTCAAGGAGGCGGAGGAGAGAGGGAGGGTTGGTCATGGGATGAGGCCGGGGGTGGGGAGATTTTGAAACTGCTCCTCTGATGCTGCCTGGCCTGCTGTGTTCCTCCAGCTCTGCACTGTGTTATCTCTCACTCCAGCATCGGCAGTTCTTACTATCTCTTTGCTTAGCTCATGTTTTTTGTGATCTGTTAAAAGCAAAGCACTACACAGGTGCTGGAGATCTGAAACACATTCAGAAACTGAGCAGGTCTGGCTGCTTCTATGGACAGAGAAACAGTGTTATTGTTTCGAGTCCTGTTTCAAGTTTTCATGGTAACTCTGAACTTCCAAAGAAGAGCCATAATGGACTTGAAATAGTAACTCTGCTTTTCACTCCACCGATGCTGCCGGAACTGCTGAGTTTTTCCAGCACTTGTTTGTTAAATTGTGGTGATCTGTTGCCCAGATCATGCCTTTATGCATGTTTTAAAAACAAACCCTGAGGCTGCAAAAAATCCATTTCCTGAACTGTTGTGAGAGATAACAACACCAGATGCTCTGGCTCTTAGTTCCAATGCTCTGATTGCAGGTATAGGCTATCGGCTTAATTTAACATAAGTGGAGATCTTAAAAGCATCTCAAGACGTATCAGGAGCAAAGTTCTTCAGAGAGATGCAGACGCAAAGCAACCTCCAGCTTTTTATTCAAAAAGTAGCTTGCTACAATGCTTTGTGGTTTTAAAAAGAAACTTAATTCTGGTTCTCTTTACACTGTCTCAATCTCTAGCTGCCACTCAGTTCAAGGGCAATTAGCGATGGGCAATAAGTGCTGACATTGCTGGGGTCACTCATATCCCATGAAAGAACTAAAACCAAATCTCAGAATCACAGGATGGTTTATTTCTTATTCTTTCTCTGTTTCTGTAACCTTTCAACCTGAAAACCTCCAAGCTTGTTGGCACCTAGTTTACAAGTATGTGTTTTACCTGTCATTTGCCTCAGCCCAGATGGTGTTCCTGACCTGTGGCACTCGACCCATCACCTCCATTTCTCAATTGAACAAATGTGATGAAATAGAGCTAACAGAGGTGGCTTCTTCAACACTGTGTTCACCAGAATTCTTATTTTGCCAAATTTATTTCCACATGTAAAAGAAGTAGAAAAATGAAATACTATTGAAAATGCTTCTGGCTGTATTGTTAGGTACAATTCGTCAATCAAGTGAATACATTATTCAAGAAAATAGTGGCCCTGTAAATGGAGTGCAAGGATTAAGAAAAGTACAGAGATAGTAGGAACTGCAGATGCTGGAGAATCTGAGATAACAAGATGTAGAGCTGGATGAACACCTGGATGAACATTTCTGAAGAAGGGTCCAGACAGCTTTCCTGCTCCTCTGATGCTGCTTGGCCTGCTCTACACTTTGTTATTTAAGAAAAATACGGATGTCTTTATTTCTAATTCATATAGGAAGGGTCTCTGATAGATTGCAATCACTGATATAAATTCACTTATATGGCTCCTTCTATAAAGTGACCCTTTTTGTCCACCTTAAGTTATAATATAGTTTTATAGCTGCCGAGCATACGGTAAAGTGTGAAAATGATGATAAATGCATTACTAGCACACTTTGGAGGTTATTTCACACTTTGTATTTCCTATTAAACTCCACCAGCTGGGTTAAGTATAATAACATCTTGGGACACTGCAGACAACTGAGACAGCTGGTGTATTCTGTTTGAGTTCAACAAAGGTCAGGAGCAAAGCAGCAGGAAAATGAGACCATTTAATTTAGACTGCTAAACTAGTACTATTTTACACTGAATATTAAGGCAAGTTCCAAAGGAAGATAGCTTGGAGGTACAATTTGATAAAGCTGTCCAAATCATTGGGGAAATGGATGCCACAGGAGACTTCACTGACCTTGGGCAATTGAAAGGTCACATACGTGTGTGTGCATGTGTGCGTGTGTGTGTGTGTGTATGTATGTGTATATGTGTCTGTCTGTCTGCCTGTCTGTGTGTGCGTGTATGTGTGTGCGTGTGTTTGTGTGTGTGTGTGTGCGCGCATGTTTGTGTGTGTGTATGTGCATGTGTGTGTGTATCTATTTGTGTGTGTGGATGTGTGTGTGTGTATGTGTGCGTGTGTGTGTGCGCGTGTTTGTGTGTGTGTGTATGTGCGTGTGTTTGTGTATCTATTTGTGTGTGTGGGTGTGTCTGTGTGTATGTGTGCGTGCGTGCATGCATCTGTGTGTGTACTGATATCCCCCATTACTGAGTTCCCATTGTTCATCTCCATCTAGGCTTACAGATAAAGAAAACTAGAGTGAGATGGCATAATTAGAGGGGGCAGGATGGAAAGAGAGAACAGCCAAAGTGGCATATTTTACACCAAGCTTGGAAAACCTTAATGCATTGCAGTGTGTTAGGTTTGGGCACAGATATTGGGCACTGCATGATCAGTATGCTGTGAACCAATAGGTCTGAACAGAAATGGAAATTAGGATTCACAGTCCATCAGGCATGACATGCCAACTACTGGCAGTGCCACCACTGGCTATGCACCCAAAAGAAATGCCCCACAGGCTATAGCTAATCCTGATGTGGGGCAGTTGGCATCGTCTCATGGAAGAGAATGAGTGGCGGAGGTGAGGACAGCTCTTATCATCACAGGAATATTTCTGTTCTTCCTGGATCCACGAGAAGTGTGAAAGAATCAAACCCTAGCAAGTTCCTTTAGCTAGTGTGACGCACTTTATTTACATAAGGTGACTGACATGTGCTTCGGTCTCTGCTTGTGATCTCTAAAACAAAAAAGGCTCCAACATTGAAGGGTCAGGCCAACAGGGATGGTGTGGTGGCACAGTGGTTAGCACTGCCACCGCACAGCTCCAGGGACCCAGGTTCAGTTCCAACCTTGGGAGATTGTGTGGTGTTTGTGCCTTCTCCCCATGTCTGCATGGGTTTCCTCTGTGTGCACTGGTTCCCTCCCACAATCCAAGGACGTGCAGGTTAGGTGGATTGGCTATGCAATGGTGTCTAGGGGTGTGCAAGTTTAGCCATTTGGAATTATGAGATAGGGTAGGATGCTCCTCTTTGGTGCAGATTCAATGGGCTGAATAGTCTCTTTCTGCACTGTGGGGATTCTATGAACAGCTGTAACATCCACTGTAAAACTGGTTTTGTTTCTGTTGATTGCCAATATAAATTGACCTGATTGTCTCTGCTTTTAATTTTAATGCTAATCATGCCATCATCTGGTCCAAATGGATGATATGAGTAATGTGTTTCTCTTTAATCATTCATTGACTATATTCTTTCCTTTGTTAGGAGCTGGTGGGGAGTAACCCTCCGCAGAGAAACTGGAAAGGGATTGCAATCGCACTTCTCGTTATCCTGGTTATCTGCTCGCTGATTGTTACCTCAGTTATCCTCCTCACCGAACGTAAGCAACTTCATTATTTAATTTCTCAGCAAGAAGCTAACAGTTTGGATCCAAAATGTTGGGCCACTCATCATTTACGTGAGCTTAAATGGCCAGATTGGGAGGAGTACACGAGCCTCTTTTAAAATTCAATTGTGGGATGTGGGAATTGCAGACCAATATTTGTGGCCCATCCCTAATTGTTTTGATTTGATCTGATTTCCTATTGGCACATGTGCCTGGGTAGAGTGAAAAATTTTGTTTTGCGCGTAGTACAGGCAGATCGTACCATACAAAATGCATCAGGGTAATAGAACAGAGCAAAGAATACAATGTTACAGCTGCAGAGAAGGTGCACAAAGAGCCAGATCAACATTAAATTTAAAATTTGAGAGATCCACTCAGAAGTCTAATAACAGCAGGGAATAAGCTGTTCTTGAATCTGTTTGTGTATGTATACAAACTTTTATATCTTCTGCCTGACAGAAGAGGGTGGAAGACAGTATAACTGGGGTGGAGGAGTCTTTGATTATGTGGTTGCCTTCCCAAAGCAGTGGGAAGTATAGATGGAGTCAATGCATGGAAGGCTGGTTTGTGTGAAGGACTGGGCTGTGTTCATGATTCTGTAGTTTCTTGCAATCTTGGGAAGAGCAGTTGGCAAATCATGCTATGATACATCCAGATAGGATGCTTTCGATGGTGCGTCTATAAAAATTGGTAAGATTGCCCTGGACTAGGTGGTTCTGAACTGCCTCTTGAATCGATGCAGTCCTGGCTCAGTATTCCAGAACCCCAGCCTAATGTTCTTTCAAATACACACAAAGAACTGTAGATGCTGAAAATCCAGAATAAAAACAGAGAGTGCTAGAGAAACCCCTCAGGTCTGGCAGCATCGGTAGACAGTAAAACCGAGTTAATATTTCAAGTCCAGTCATCCTATGTCAGAATGGACTCAACTTGCTGGGCTGTAATTTTCTCTTTACAGATGCTGCCAGATCTGCCGAGTTTCTCCTGCAGTCTCTGTTTTTGTTCCAATGTTGTGTGGACTTGGGTTTGAATGACAGATGGTGAAATTTAAATTCAATAAATATCTGGAATTTAAAAAGCTAGATCGCTGACAGCCATGTAATCATTGTCATAAAAATCTATCTGGTTCATTGAAGCCCTTCAGGGAAAGAAATCTGTACCTCATCACCTCAGGTGACCTCCCACCCGCGGCCTCCAACCTCATCGTTCCCCAACCTCGCACCGCCCGCTTCTATCTCCTTCCCAAAATCCACAAACCTGAATGCCCTGGTCGACCCATTGTCTCCGCCTGCTCCTGCCCCACCGAACTGATCTCCAACTATCT